TTGATTACAAGCAATTCAAACCAGGACAGGAGATCCCAGACAAGGACATGCTTTGGATTCTCGAGCAAACTCCGTAGGTTATTTTCGGAACTTCTACTCCCTCTTCCACAGCTCAATATTCCATCATTTTCCTGTGCCTTGTTTCTGGATTGCGCCATGCTTTACGACCTATGTACGCTTTCGTCTTGAAATTGGATGTGTTTACGATTAGCTTTCCAGCGGATCAATCAAAACCCAAGATGTCACATGGTTCCTCAAGAAATACTCTTACTGGCCATCTTACAATGTGCCCTTCATCAAGGACATCAGCATAGAAGCAGGATTCAGCGAGAAGGTTGGGTAGCTCTCCTATTTCTGCTATGCTTTTGTTTGAGGCTAAATTATGATTACTTTAGGCTAGAGAATTTGATTGGTACAAATGGGGATCAACTCCGCGGGCGAGAATTTTCGAAAGAGATCATCATAAAGTGCAGGATATGGACTCACTGACGAAGCTGATGAGGTAAGAACAAGAGCAGAATTCAGTTAAATGCGTTACACTTTCTCTCCTCGGTGAGGAAATTTTCGATGGTAACCTTTACTATCAAAAAGTTGAAGTATAAGATTGAAGGAAAGTAGACCATGTGAAAAGTATCTCTGAAAAATGCTAAGCCAGGTGATGCTGCTGAGAGAGTGCAATGGCCTAAGAACCATTTTAGAAGCTAAATAGCATTTCCTAAGGTTGTAATGGTAGAACTGCATGAGTTGCAGAGGTCACCGTGAGCTCGCGCGAGGCCGCGAGCGATGCGCGACATGCACATCGCTCGCGGCGTCGCGCGGTGACCTATTGCGTGACCTATTGGTGACGGCACGCGACACACTGAATCCACGCATGAGTTGAGCTTGGAATCCGGTGGGAAGGTAGATAGTGTGCTCGAAGACGAAAGCGAAGGACAAGTAAAGAGGCGTAGCTCGGATCAGTTGGTGTGCACGAGACATGTCCATGTGTGCGCTGTCGCACGTTGGCCTCTCGCTACTGTCCGCCCTATGGCCCTTATTTGCAAAGCAGTAATAAAGGGAAGGAGAAAGCTCCAGATTATAAAGCTAAGACTCTGGAAAGGTGAACTTTGCGTGGCCGCATTCGTACAACTGCTCCGCTCGTAAAATTCAGGTGTAATTATCAAAAGCGTTATTTAACAACAAACGCAATACCGACTCCTCTAAACGCCTCACTGACTTTCATTTCATGGCATGACGCTCAGAAAGTGGAGTCGGGATCAAGGTTCAGCAGACTTGGTTTGGTGGGCCCAGTGGGGAGATAGTGTCGCATTCAGAGGACCAATTTCGAGAGGTTAATTTCAAGCGTAGTGTAAATAAGAATGTTTTGAAATATTTGTTGAGAAGTTAAAGAACTTTTTCCGATGTATCAATTTCTCCGATCGACGGGTTTTCGAGTAAGTTAAGTTAGGAAATTAAGAGAGGTAAGGAAGAGGTAAGGACGCTAAATAAAGAGCAGGATGACAGAGTTGGAGAGGGATCCTATTCGGAAAAATCACTTGTCGCTATTCAAGCTCCTGTATGGTATGTAAATATCCATCTACGTCATGCTATTCAATTTCCCACACCTCAAAATCAACTTATGACTATACCAACATCTATTTGTATTTTGAGTCGTCTTTAACTGATAACTGACATCCTTCTGATGATGAGCGAGGAACCTGTTCATGCCTCTTTGAAAATCGCTCAAGCAGTCTGAAGTCAACACTGCGTCACGAAGCCTTTTTCCCAGAGCGCTACGTTATTATATGTCAGACCCGAATCGCAATAATTCCATTCCATTCAGGTACAACGATTATACTCATGAAGAGTTTGCTCGCTGCAAATGCACACCTTTACCGTACACTGCAGAGGTGAGTCCTTGTTCGAATATGAATAAGAATGTCAGCGATCAAAATATTATCCAAGAGAGTTCTATTCAGGGAGGAATATCTGCCCGCGGTGATTTGAACACTCCAGGAGGGACGTACGAAGTTGAAAGCATGGGATTCCGCGATCATGCCGGTCTTGATTACAAGGTAAGTTCTGTAGCTGCCTAATGCAGTGATGTGTATGCAAACTTCTCATATTTACGTGCTGTTTGATTGTATTTGAGAAGAGTGGAAGTGTCATACTACGCTTCCGGCATTGTAAGGAT